CCGCACCCGCCAGGTTTTAGCCTGAGAACCCGCTCCGTTTTCTGCCCGCCGCGCCCGGTCCCGCTAGAGCGGAGAACACAACCAAATATCACCCAGTATACAGTCCAGACAGCCAAGCTGTCTGTATAAAAACACACACACAGCACAAAGCACACAAAACTCGTTCGTTCGTTCGTTCGCTCTCTCTCTCTCTCTCTCTCTCTCTCTCTCCCCGCGCCAGATTTCTGCGGCGCGGGAATACATTTCCGAATAAATCGCGGGAGCAGAACTCTAGCACGGAGCTCCATAAACAAACAGCACGCGTCGCGTTTTTAACGTGACTTTGCACGCGATAAGATAATATATCCAGTTAACCTGATACAGTACACGCGGTTACAAGTAACAAATCACAACTAAATACATTTGCAAGCTAGAGTAAACGAGGCAACAACTTTAACCGCACGTACTTACACTTGAGAAATGTAGGAAGAAACCCATCCTGACGTCCATCAGTTACTCTTTACTGATCCTTCCTTTAACAAACTCAGATGAAGTATTCTTTGTAGCATGTAGCTTCCAGAAGTTTCCAACTGCTTGGTTATAATGCTGATGTTTCATCTTTGGGTAGAGACTCAATATATCCATCTGCAGTGTGACTTCTATCGACCGGCATGTTTGTGTGCGTGTGTTTGTGGGTGTGCGTGTGTTTGTGGGTGTGTGTGTGTGTGTGTGTCTGGGTTTCTGCGTCAGAGGGCGGGGCCTCAGGTTTGAAATCTCCCGGGTTTGCGCGTGCACGTGAAAAACTTTGTTTCGTTCGTACGTCATGGCGAAACACCTAATGAGTCGGTATCAAGGCGACTCGTTTGAAGCACTATGAGTCGACTCTTTTATAGATGAATCAACAGTTTTAAACACTGTATTCTTACAGATTTAAGCCTTAGCTGGATACTTCACTTCACTTAGAGCTGTGTTACACACTACATGGAGGGGAATTTTCAAAAACCCATAATATGGGCTCTTTAAATATTTATTAATTGAATATATATATATATCCACACCACCACCAATGTGTAGCATTCACTTGGATGGTGCGACGGCAGCCACAGGACCTCAGGTTTCACAGTCAGGTCCTCGGTTTTACGTTTTATCTGAAAGACGGCGCCCACTGACAGTATAGTGTCCTCTTCACTTTTACTGGGGCATTAGGACTCACGCGGACCACAGCTTGAGCGCCCCCTGCTGGCCTCACTAACACCACTTTCATATATATATATATACACACACACACACACACACACACACATACATACATGCATATATATATATATATATATATATATATATATATATATATATATATATATATATATATATATATATATACAACAGTTCTGTCTGGTTCTCGAATCTGATTGGCTGACAGCAGTTGTGATGATAGCAATAACAGCACTTGTACAGCCTCTTCACCTTTGTGTATTACTCCGCCCACAGAGTGACAGCAGATCAACAAACTCACTACAGTTAGACAAATATTGCAGCTGTTGGACAACAATGTACTTTGAGGCTTTAGTCGAGAATGTAGTTGTTTAGATTGCAATTATGCAGTTTATCTATAAGGATAGTGCCTATTTTATCATATATTTTTAATTTCTGTTAGCCACAGACGATTGACATTGGCTATCCACAAGATGGCACCAGGACCACATAATAAGCCCTTGCTTAGATTATTCATTCATTCATTTTCTTTTCGGCTTAGTCCCTTTATTAATCTGGGGTCACCACAGCGGAATGAACCGCCAACTTATCCAGCACGTTTTACGCAGCAGAAGCCCTTCTGGGAAACACTCATACACTTTCATTCAATACTTACACTATGGACAATACAGTCTATCCAATTCACCTATAATACGTCTTTGGACTTGTAGGGGAAACCAGAGCACCCGGGTTTTTTGACTCTCCGTGTTTGATTTTCTTATTTATATACACGATTGTGCCGTCGAACTGTTGTATAAATGCATTATCACACGAGTAGCAGTGCAATATGGCTGTATATTGTCACTGGTGGGACTCTTAAGGCACGCCTCCCACCAGTGCTAATATACAGCCATATCGCACTGCTACTTGTGTGATATTGCTCATATATATATATATATATATATGTATATATATATATATATATATATATATATATATATATATAAATGAGCAATATCACACGAGTACTTATTTATTTTTATTTTTTTTATAATAAATAATTAAAATACATGTTTTTGGGTAGTGAGTGCATGGCCATTATTTCTAGCAATGCCCCTGAGTTACTTTAATGTGTTATATGATAATATAATTGGTGACTCTGCAGCAAAAAAAGCAGAAAAAGTCCAGAGGTACTGACATATTAGTAACATTTCAGCTTGTTTGTGTGCTGTCTGAATGTTTGCTTGAGATAATTACATGTGTTTCAATGGAAGTAATAAAAAGTTCTAGATTTTTGGGATGGGTGGGGATGGTTGTATATGTGGTGGTTCACCCAACATGCAAATGTCTGTTATTTATCATGTGAATTTAATAGTATTGTTTTACTTATTTAACACATTATTATGTTATTTTAACACTTTAATTTAATATTGATTGATTGATTTAACAAATGTGTTTTATATTTATAATTTATTGTTTTTATATAACTTTTTTGGTCCCACTTTATATTAAGTGTCCCTAACTACTATGTACTTACATGAAAAAAAAAATAACTACAATGTACTTGCTGTGTTTATAATGTATTTGAGAACACTTGTGGTGCTTTTGAGTTGGAATAGAGGTTGGGTTATGAACAGGTTTGGTGGCATGGGTAGGTTTAAGGGTGGGTTAAGGTGTAAGGGATGGTCAACAGTGTATTTACAAAAGTTAATTACAGATGTAATTACATACTTGTATTTAATCAAGCATAAGTACACAGTAAATACATGTATTTACACAATAAGTACATTGTAACAAACTATTAATTTCTATGTAAGTACATATTAGTTAAGGCCACTTAATATAAAGTGGGACCACTTTTTTTTTACAAAGGTGAATTAATTTAAATATATATTAATAACTTTTAATCCTTATTTGTCACATTCAATATTGTTATTATTCATTCATTCATTCATTCATTCTCCTACAGCTTAGTCTTTATTACAGAGGTCTCAACAGTAGAATGAACCTATATCTCCACAGCAGAATCAACTATATTGTTAAAATTGCAAGAAATGCTGTCAGACCTTTATAGACTACAAAAAGTATTAGCATTTTACTCAAACACATATTTAATAAAGGTCATCAAGCGCTCTCTAAATGTTTTACCGTTTACATAATCTAATATACAGTAAACATCTTCCTAATGCTTCACTATTTAGCGGTCATATACATTCATGCATGCATTTTCCTTTTCAAAGCTGAAGTGAAGGTTTGAGCCGTCCTATATTCTTCTGTCTATTTATTGTCTATTTTGGGTCTCCGCTGTGTTCTAGTGCTTTCTGACGGCGTGTTGGAGTCCGGCTCCTCATTCTCTCTGTGAGCTATAAGCAATGGAGGCAATTTAGCAGAACTCCTGTGTATTGATCAAAGCCCAGAGAAATAAATAAGCTGCCAGACTCGTGCCAATCACAGCTGACAGCGGATGAGGAGCTGGACCTGTTCTCCATCTTTCCAGCGCGCCGCCATAAACAAGAACAGAAATAAAGAAATAAGATCACGCTCTGTTGCTTTCAATCTCAAACTGAGCCGCTCTGAAAAGTGTGCATGTACAGATTCAGTCTCTACACGGCTGTGGATGCAATAAGCTGGACGCTAATTGAAATTATATCACAGGCTAGATAATAAATATGCGATTTTGCTGTTGAATATTGCAAATGTGGTATTTTTTGCCATTTGAGAAAGCTGTTTTAATAAATAAATAAATATATATATATATATATATATATATATATATATATATATATATATATATATATATATATATATATATATATATATATAATAATTTTGACCTTAAAATAGTAGAGAAAAAATTACATTTTACATTTACATGTAGTCATTTAGCAGATGCTTTTATTCAAAGCGACTTAAAAATGAGGACAAGGAAGCAATTTACACAACTATAAGAGCAACAATGAATAAGTGCTGTAGGCAAGTTTCAGGTCTGTAAAGTCTAAGAAGGAAAGTATTTGTAATTTGTTTTAGTAAATTTTTTGTAAAAATTTTAGTTTTTTTTTTTTTTGAGTACAGTTAGTGTGATATTCAGAGATTGCAGATTAGGAAGTGAAGTGGAGACTAAATAGTTGAGTTTTTAGTAGTTTCTTGAAGACAGCGAGTGACTCTGCCGTTTCTGATGCAGTTAGGGAGTTCATTCCACCAACTGGGCAGATTGAGTGCGAGAGTTCGGGAAAGTTATTTCTTCCCTCTTTGGGATGGAACCACGAGGCGACGTTCATTCACAGAACGCAAGTTTCTGGAGGGCACATAGATCTGCAGAAGTGAGAGCAGATAAGAAGGAGCAAAGCCAGAAGTCGCTTTGTAGGCAAACATCAGAGCTTTGAATTTGATGCGAGCAGCAACTGGCAGCCAGTGCAAACGGATGAGCAGCGGAGTGACATGTGCTCTTTTAAGTTCATTGAAGACCACTGGTGCTGTGCGTTCTGGAGCAGCTGAAGAGGCTTGATGGAGTTAGTAATTAAAAACTGCTTTTATCCTAGCCGAAATAAAACAAGACTTTCTCCGGAAGAAAAAATATTATCAGACTCACAGTGAAAATTTCCTGAATCTGTTAAACATCATTTGGGAAATATTTAAAAAAGAAAAATTTTCAAAGGGGGGTGAATAATTCTGACTTCAACTATATATACAGTTGAAACCAGAAGTTTATATACACTCTAAAAAAACAAACATAACCATCCTTTTATTAATGTCTAGACAGTCTACAGTTGACACACACTTCCTTGGTATTTTTTAGCTTTGCTTTTAAACTGTATAACTTTGGTCAGATGTTTTGGGTCTCCTTCTACAAGCTTGCTTCTTTCTTTTTCCTCTTCTGCGTCCTCTACTTTCCATTCTTCTTCTTCCTACCCCTCTACCACTTCATCCTCTTTCTTCTCTTCTTCCTCTATCATTTCTTGCTCTTCCTCCTCCTCTTCTGCCTCTTTCTCTTTTACCACTTTATCCTATTTTTTTCTCCTGCTCTTCAACCTCTTCTTCTTCTCCTTCCTTCCTCCTTATTCTCTTCTCCCTCCTCTTTCTCATCTACCACTTCTTCCTCTTCCTACTCTTCCTCTTCTATTACTTATTCCTCCTTCACTTTCTCTTCTTCCTCATCTACCACATCTTCCTCTTCCTCCTCTTTTTCTGCAACCTCTATTTATTTTTCTTCTATTACTTCTTCCTCCTTCACTTCTTCCTCTTCCTCAACTCCACTTTTTTCCCTCTTCCACTACTCGTTTCTCTTCCTTCCATTCTTCTTCCTCTACCACTTCATCCTCTTTCTTCTCTTCATCTTATCTTGCTCTTCCTCCTCTTCCACTTCTTCCTCTTTCTCCTTTACCACTTTATCCTATTCTTTCTCCTGCTCTTCAACCTCCTCTTCCTCTTATCCTTCCTCTTCGTTCTCTTCTTCCTCCTTTTCCTCATCTAACACTTCCTCCTATTCAACTTTCTCTTCTTCTTCCTCCTCTACCACTTTTCCCTCTTCCTCCTCCTCTTTTCCATCCTCCTCCTCCTCTTCTCCATACCCCACTTCTTACTCCTCATCGACCACATCTTCATCTTCTTCCCCTTCATCTTTTTCCTCATCCACTTCTTCTTCCTCGTCCTCTCCCACTTCCTCCTCATTCTCTTCTTCCTCCTTTTCCTCATCCAACACTTCTTTCTATTCAGCTTTCTCTTCCTCTTCCTCTACCATTTCTTCCCCTTCCTCTTTTCCATCCTCCTCTTCCTCTTCTCCATCCTCCATTCTTCTCCATTCCTCCTTCTTTGCCATTTCTTCCTTTTCGTCTTTTTCCTCATCTCTTCCTCTTCTTCCACTGCCTCCTCTTTCTCATTTACCACTTCTTCCTCTTTCTCCTGCTCCTCCTCCTCTTCTTCTTTTTCTTACTCCTCCTCATTTTTCCTCAATTTCTTTTTCCTCCTCCTCTTTTTCATTCTCCTCCGTCTCTTCTTCCTCATTTACCACTTCTTTCTATTCAACTTCCTCTTCCTACCCCTTCTCCACCCTCCACTTCTTCCTCCTCTACCACTTCCTCCTCCTCTTCTCAATCATCCTCTTGTTCTTCCTCCTCTACCACTTCCTCCTCCTCTTCTCAATCATCCTCTTGTTCTTCCTCCTCTACCACTTCCTCCTCCTCTTCTCAATCATCCTCTTGTTCTTCCTCCTCTACCACTTCCTCCTCCTCTTCTCAATCATCCTCTTATTCTTCCTTCACTTCTTCTGTTTGTTGATGTCTCATTGAGTGTTTCAGTATTGGGTTGCCAGATCTCCGTGTGAAGCGTCTGTCATTCCCCCGCGCTGCGCTCATTAGCATTATGGTGCGATCCGTCCAGCAGCACCCCTGACTAATTCTTTATTTGTATCAAAAAGAGGACAAAAAAAAAAACATGGCAAATTCCCCGGAGCACCAACAAGCTTCACGTCTCATTTGACTATGCTAATTACCTTTTGCATGATTAATTGGACCAATTAGAATTAGTGGTGGAAGAAAACGATTCTTGGCAAGGTGCAAACTATTAATTAGTCATGAAAACATTATTAATGCAGGGCTTTAATCTGAGTGAATACGACAGAATTACAGAAATAAGGGTTATTATGACGCGCTGCGCTTGTGTGGAGAGAAATAGAGACGCACTTAGTGGATTAAAATACCAGAACACACAGAATATATATTTATATATATATATACATACACACACACACACACACAAAATACAAACAAAAGAGAAATAAGCCCTGTTTAATACAGCATTAATAATGTTATGTGATGGTTTTGTTTGATTTAACACTCCGTCATTTAGTATTGTGTATTATTAATGTGTAATTATTAAAAGAGTCTACACTTTATCACCAATTACATGTAAAGTAAGTTATTAATCATGCAAATTGAATATTATTGGTATATTTATTCAATATAATAAGGTTATTTTTAACACTTTTATAATAATACTGATTTATTAAACAAATGTGAACGTTTTTACAAAGTTGAATTCATTTAAATGTATATTAATAACTTTTCAATCCTATTTATGACATTCAATAGTGTTATTGTTCATTCATTCATCATCCATCAGCTTAATCTCTATTTTGTAAGTCACCACAGCAGAATGAAATGCCAACTATTCCAGCATATGTTTTAAGCAGCGGATGCCCTTCCAGCTGCAACCCAGTACTGGGAAACACCCATACACAAACGCTCATACACTACGATCAATTAATTCCCCTATAGCACATGTGTTTGGACTTGCAGGGGAAACTGAAGCACCCGGAGATAACCCACGCCAACACAGGGAGAACATGCAAACTCCACACTGAAACACCAACTGACCAAGCCGGGACTCAAATCAGCACCCTTCTTGATGTGAGGTGATATTGTTAGTAGTTTACTATTATTATTATTATTATTATTATTATTATTATTATTATTATTATTTCTTTGGCTAAATTTTAAGGTTTAATAAATATTTATGCTGGAAAATATTCTGCATAAATCAATAAAGTTAATAAGTCAGATTACATTATTTTTCCAAGGCAGATTTAAGTCATTTTAGGATACATTATACTAAATAATAATGTATGAGTCATGTTCAGTACTGTTAATATTTCACACATTTATGAGCTAGTTAATTTTTAGACTATTTACAGGTGCAGTAGGTGATTGTCTTCAGAAACATGTGTTGTTGTGCTGGTTGAAAGTCTTTACATGCTAATAGTAATGATTAAAGTAAATGATCTAAATGTGTTTATGTGCAGTTTTATATTCTGGATGAGGAGTAAGACTAAAAAAATTTCATCCGATTACAATTAGTTGGGCCGACAATTCCCATAATTCTGATAAGTAGCCCAAACTGTCTGTCGACAAATGTAGATTTGTACAACTGCGCACCTCTGTTCATGCAGATCATGTGGACATGAGTGACAGATGAGTGAATCAAAACTTGTTCAAATCCTGAATCAATGTTGGAGTTAGTTTTGTACGCTGGAGGAAGGATGACACCATGGTTGAAGTCTTTCTATTAGACAGGTCATGTTCTGTTTTAAAACTCAGTCACGCAGAGCTGATGTAGATTGTGTTGTTATGAATGGGTTATCTGCACAGAAGTGTTGTTCAGCCACTGAAATCTCCCGGGGAAAGACTAATGTGACTATTTTCAGTTTCATGAGCTCCTTTTACAGCATCAAAAATGTAGATTTATATTTAGTTTAACAACAAAACATCAGTAAATACACACACAAAAAAAGACGCTGCAAAACTGTTGCAAACAACAATCAAATTAAATTTAATAAAATTCAACTTTGTTTGTTTAATTCAGCCCAAATAAATTGTTTACAGCCACGTAACGTTAAAAAAATTGAGTACATCCAAGCAATCATCTCTGAATATTTTTTTTTCAGTGTAGCGCTATTCTGCCAAGCCTGCTTTACTGAGCTGAAGATGCTTTTAAATTCGCATTGGTTCAATTTTGAACAATGACAGCCTGCGACGCGCTCTCTATATTGTTCACCGCTGCTCTGAATATTTGCTCTGAAATAGCATGTCAGTGTGGCTTAGTAATAAGTGTAACTCCTCCAACCCGCCGGCCAACCACTGAGCATACAGTAGTGGCTTTAGGACAAAGCTTGTGAGAGAGTGAGACCAGCGATCATAGCATGCATGAAATATTGTTCATCATGACAAGTTTTGCTAGTTAACTACATAACTGAAAACGTGCAAGTTATAATACAGTTTTTCAATGGGGATTGAATGATTATAAAGTACTATAAGGTTTTTTTTAACTGGCGAATGACATGATCTAGTGCAGGGGTGTCAAACTCAATTCCTGGAGGGCCGAAGCCCTGCACAGTATAATTCCAGCTCTGCTCCAACACACTTACCTGTAGGTTTCAAACAAGCCTGAAGGACTCAATTAGTTTGATCAGGTGTGTTTAATTAGGGTTGGAACTAAACTGTGCAGAGCTGCGGCCCTTTTGGAACTGAGTTTGACACCTGTGATCTAGTGGGTTGTCTACTGTCATCATTAGTGTGCACGTATGTGATTTCAGGAGACGTGGCTCTGGATGGCAGAGGGACTAGAGATGGGTACCAAAACTTGGTACTTTATCGGTATCGGTACTACAATAAAAAAGACCGAAATATCGATAAGCTCTGATGTTAACGGTTCTGAATAAACATTACTTACAGTAGCATAATTTAACTGAGCAATCGTTTCTAATTTGCGATATTTGATATTCGTCTGTACAGTCGGCAATCTCGCATGAGAAATGCTCGTGTACCTGGCGAGAGCGTTAAGTATAAAAACCTTCAGTTCTCGGGTGTGCACGCGCACTCAGTGGAGTCTCGCGCTAAGCGCACACACATAGCTTGCGACACAGACTCGCGCGCACACACACAGCTCGTAAGCTTGCGGAGTGAACCAAATGGGTTGTAGTTCCCGAGTGAACAGCGACAATGCACGTTGCAACAAACGCAACAAGTTGTTTCCTTGTATAAGCAGAAATGCAAGCAATCTGGCTCAGTGACAGTATCACGCCTGTTTCACACCACAAGCGTTAGCGGCGCGTGAGCAGCGCGTGTGTTTTCGGCGTCCATGTTAACAGATTAGAGCTTTCATACCACACGCAGCAGCAGCGCGTCAGAGCGAGGCGTGAGCGTCGCTGAAGCAGCAGTGCAGCGATAGTGTCGGAGCTGGGTCTATTTTTGACGTGCTGCTCACGCTCAATTAAAGTGACAGTGCATTGATAATGACCAAAACACATTGAATGACAGTAAAAAGTAGAAAGTTTTAATCGGCTTTGTTTTATGTTCACTCGAGTTATTCCTACCGGGAGCTGTTTGCACTGTGAATCTGACAACACGAAAATAAGTAAAAGAATGGCATGCATTGGTTACTTTTGTCCGTCTCATCATCTGCACGAGCATGAATTAATAAGCTGTTATTCTGCCGCTGGACAGCACTGAAGTGGAGAAAGTAACAATGGTTTGATCTGTATAAATATCATTATAACTATATTGTATAAATATTATTATATATAGGCTTACAGCAACCTGATAATCAAAAAACTAATGACATGATATCACAGGCGATTGTCTTCTGACTGTAGAACTTCTCATATAAGTTAGCTTGAGAAGCATACAGCACTATTTGATCTATAAAATTTGTAAAATAAACATTTGCAGGTTAAAGAAACAGCATAGGAGGGGCCTTGGTGCAGGTTAAAGGTTGAAAAAAATGTATTTGTATATAGAGAGACATGGATAACTAGATAGAATAGACAGAGATAGGTTGATCTCTGCAGCAGCTGCCGAAGAGCTGCGCGCTGCAGACGCAGCTGGTGTGAAAGGCAAACGCCTGCGTGCTGCTACTGCTCGACATACGCGCTGCTCACGCTCTGCTCACGTGCTGCTCACGCGCTGCTGACGCTTGCGGTGTGAAACAGGCGTCATTCTAAAGTGCAATGAAAAGTAATGAACAGTTTTTGACTGCCTAGATTCTACTGTTAACGTTACATCATCCGCATCATTATGCCAGCAGTCAATCATCTACAGTAAATTAATATATTATTAATAGTTTAATAAACACACACATTCAGTTACAATGAAAACAGTATTTTTTAACAGTAGCTTAAATAAACCTTAAACATAAAAAATGCTTTTACATCAGCTGTATTTACAAATATAGCCTATGAATAGCCTAATAATTAACTATGCTTAAGAAATAATAAAAAAACTGTATTTTACATTGCTCCAAAACTGTATTAAAAACAGTTAACTCCCAAAACACTGTTGACTCATTTATGTGAATGCGTTAATGAAAAATCATAAACATTATCTCATTTAACTGCATCATGCAACTCAAAGAGGGTATTTTCAGCTACACAATACTGTTCACAACAAACCAAGATAGCGTCTTCCGCCAGAAAAGTCAAGCATGTTGATTTTTCTCCAGAAGAAAGGTTAAAAACTGAGAGTCATTGCCCTTCAAACCATTGTACATTCTTTAACAACACCATCTCACGGAAATTTGTAACTATTTGATTCAGTGGCTAATTCGTATGATCGTACGATCTAATTTGTACAATTTACAACAATTTGCTCAAAACCCAATGGGTTTAGGGGTGGGGTTGAGTGCCACGCCTCCTTTTTAAAATCGTACAATTTCGTACGACTGAACTCGTATGAATTTGTACGAATTAGCCACTAAACTGGCAAAACGTAAAATACGTTTTCTCG